CGACGAGCACACGCTCATGACATTCGGTGGCGCGCAGCGCATCGCAGCAGCCTACGGCGTCGCACTCATTGCGCCCGATACAAGGTACAGAATGCTACTAGTACACCGCTTCTGTCGCTGACGACAATGGTAGTCCTCGGATCAAGCGCGGCGCAAGCCATTGGTGCTATGGCCCAGGTTTTCTTACAACAGTTTCCCGCATATGTCTTCCAGTCGAGCGGCGTAGGTGCGAGCTGGTACGTGGATGCAACCGAGCCGCGCTGGGCCGACAACTACCAAATGTACTCGTACATCACCAAGGAGCTACCGACGCTACTGAACGCACAGCTGCCCATTGCAAAGGACAAGTACTCGATCATGGGCCACTCGATGGGCGGTCACGGCGCGCTCATGCTGGCGCTCAAGAACCCTGTATGTACCTCCTGTCATGCACCGTAAAACGAGAACGAACTGATATTTGTAGGAATTGTACCACTCGGTGTCGGCGCTCGCGCCCGCCAGCAGCACGATCCGAAGCTCGTACGGTGCCAAGGCGCTTCGAATGTATCTGGGCGATGACGTGGCAGCGTGGCAGGTCTTTTTTCTTGATGAGATTCGCACTGGCGACGGTTTGTTAGGCGTGGGATGCGACCGAACTCATGCTCTCCAAAGGTCCCGTCTCAAAATACAACATTTTGATTGACCTTGGCGCGGATGACGAGTTCTGGCACGACGACGTCCAGCTGCATCCCGAGGCATTCGAGGTCTATCTCTGATTCAAGCTCAGTGCGCAGGATGACCTTTGGGTGTAGGCGGCGTGCAACCAAGTCGGCCAACACCTCACCTTTCGCGCCCAGGTACCTTGGAAGAGTTCCTGCCTCGTTGTCTAAAATCATTAAATAGGACGGCTATGATCACTCGTGGGACTTTGCCGCCACCTTCATGGAAGATCACATCCGCCACCATGTCGAAGCGCTGCACTCGGCTTCGTCGTAGAGCATACTTTGGACATGCTGTATTTTCGGCTGCCACATATCACACATGCCAATAAAGACTCTAGACTTTAGTCTCCTCCAAGATATTCTTTACAGGACTGGTTCAGTTTCATACACCAAGGTCATGCATGCATCATGGGTGCATCTCTTCGATGTAAAGTACTACTCCCATGCATTCCGCTCGAGCGCTGCGTTTGCAATACTACCAAGTCAGTCGTTGACATCTCGGTTTCGAATTTCGACGCCAACACGATCCAGATACTATGATGAATGGCTCCATCGCTACACATACGTACATCGAGGTTAGGGTTAGAAGACCGCCAGCATCTCGTCGTGCTTAGAACGATGTCACGTGCACTGTCTTGCCCGTGCACGAGTCTTGCTTCTGCCACGCTGGCGGGCACGCGATCGCATCCGTGGGTCCATAGCTCGGGTCCGACGTCGAGTGCAAGTCGGGGTGTTCCTTTCCGTAGCACGTCACGACGCGTGCGAGGTCGTCGCCATGGCAGATCAAGACGGGCGCCGCGCCGGACGCCGTCGTAAGCGCTTCGCGCAGAGCCGCCGTGTCGACCGCTTCGCCAACGTGGTCGCTCAAGATCGACGGCGTTCCGAGCGCAATCGTGAGGTCGACAATCTTTTGCAAGTAGGCGCCTTGGTGCAAGCCGCCGCACGTCCACGCGTACTCGGGCGTGTTGCCGTCAAAGCCGCCCGACCACATGGCACTTGCGTCGGTGGCCTCGGGGCTGGGCCAGTACTGCGCGAGCTTGTCTTGGCCAACCTTTGCAATGTTGGCGGGGCGAAACGTGCCGTACTCGTAGCGACACAAGCCCGTCTGCGTCGACCCGTCCTTGTACGCTGGCATCAAGTCGCCCGCGACCAAGTGGTTTCCGAGGTAGCTCGGCGGTGTCGCACAGAGAGCCTTCCCGGGCGTCGTGGCGCAGATCTCGGGGTACCACACGCGGGAGAAGACCCACACGTCTTGATCGCCAAACGCCGACGGGTTCGGCATGGCGCGCAAGGAAGGGTACGCCGCAGCGATCGCGGCGAGCGCGCTCAGAGTCGCCACGAGGCTCGCGAGTTGCATGTTTGCTTCGTGGCGGCAAGTTCTTATATGCAGTCACTGGTTGCTGGCGCTGGAACGATAGAAGACTCGAGGTTGCCGTTTGTTCGAGAAAGGACGTAACCGTCAGTGTCCACCAGCCCCGCGATGTGCAGCAACCAAGCGAACGCCGTCGAGGACGTGGCGTCGAGAAAAGAAGATGCACGATGATGGATACGAAGAGTAGAGTGTATACACAAAGGAACACTAAAAGAGCACGCAAGCACCAAGTGGAATAGTACACCCTCTCGCACCTAGTTGTACACGGGCGGAAACGGCGCAATGAGCGTCTCGGCGTCGATGCACGAGTCGGATCTCGCGATCGCAGACGGACAAGCCATGCGCGTCGTGGGTTCGTACGTCGGGTCCGTCTCGGTGGCTGACGGCGTGTGCTTGGCCCAGCACGTGACGACGCGTGCGAGGTGCTTGCCGTCGCAGTGCAAGACAGCGTTGCCTCCAAACGCGTCCCGCAGAGACGGCGTCGCGACGCTGGACCCAATGTGCGATCGAATCGCGCTCGGCGTGCAAAGGTCTTTGGTCATGTTGACGACCTTCTCGAGGTACGGGCCTTGGTGCATCCCGCTGCACGTGTACTCGTACTCGGGCGTGCCTTTATCAAAGCTGCCGGTCCACATCGTGTCGACGCTCGGCGCGCCAAAGTGCGGCCAGTAGTCGCGCAAAAGTCCTTGGCCGACAGCGTTGATGTTGGCCTCGAGAAACGTGCCGTACTCGTAGCGACACATGCCAGTTTGGGCGCGCCCCGAGTTGTAGCTCGGCACGAGCGAGGCCGCGACGAGATGGGACTTCATAAAGTCGGTGGGGCTCGCACACAGAGCACTGGCGTTGTATTGCGTCGCGCATGCCTGCGCGGGCCAAAGCGTTGTGAGTACCCACAGATCTTGGTCGCCCCACTCGGACCACGACGACCCAGTGGCGGACGTAGCAAGCGCAAGCAGAAAGAATGACGACTTCATGGCAAAAGGTAAACTGTTGATGGTTTGCGGATCGATAAAAGTGGTGCGCAGAGTCGCGGGCAGCAGTGTGATCCAGCGCGGCATCTGGCTCTCCAAAGCCCCACTTTGCATACTATGCAGCATGCGCCACCCGGCGGCGTACTGGTATATGGAGGATGCGGTGGAGTACATCTACAATAGATCAGCTTCTGGCACTCTCCGCCGAAGCGCCATGTGGTCTAAGCATATTGAAGATGCGCACCGGACAACGCTCCGACTTGATGCCAAAGGGCGCCTACGGCCAGATGGTGTTTGGACAAGAAATGCGAGCGCCACGTCATCGCATCGCAAGAAGATCGCTGGATGATCTGTAGTGTGTTCAACAGCCTTGTACTTGCTTCTAATACAGTACTATGTTGTACGGATTTCAGCGAGAGAGAGCTATTGCACGTGCCACCACGGCAATTTTTCATTTCCAGTACTAGTACGCTACCGGTAGTGTACTTTCCACCAAGATCTTGGAGACCATTATACGAGTCTAGCGTAATGTTAAATTAACCCCTCAACGCCACCCAACTTTTTAAGACTACGGATCGTCCTTATTCTTAAACTATAGCTCGTGAACATTACCGTGGTGACGGACACAAGTGGCTGCTTGTCAGTAGCCGCTGCATCGCTTTGCTTCGTGCCCATGCGATGGCACGAGTCGAGAAGCCCTCGCTTCGGTGGGCCAAAAGAAAGGCGACGACCTCCAAGTGGCCGCGTACGATGGCACGGTCTAGCGCGGCTGTCGTCGCTAGCGCGCCCGCCGCGTGCAGTCGCTGGACGATTGCCAGATGCCCGCCGTCGGCTGCACCGTCCAAGGCTGCACTCGTGCACGGACGTCCTTGCGCCAAGAGATAGGCGACCACGTCTTCGTGGCCTCCGCGCGCGGCGCCGTCGAGCGCGTTGGCTGTGCCCACGTTGCTTCGATGTGACAGCAAAAACTGCACGACGTTCAAGTGGCCTTTGGCTGCGGCCTTGTCGAGCGCTTCCGCGTATCCAACATCGTCCATTCTATGCGGTAGCAGATATCGCACGACGTCGAGATGGCCCTTGGCGGCCGCGTTGACGATCGCTCTTGCAGTGCACCCTTCGGCACGCTGCGCGTGTAAATACTCCAGAATCTCGAGCGCCCCAGCCTTGGCGGCCGCGTCCATCGCAGCTGGCGCACACGCAACGCCCATGCGATCGAGGAGCTGCACCATTTGAAGCGAGACGCGCGCTGCGGCGGTCATGGCGTGCGCCGAGCACGTGCCAAGGTTGTGCGCGTAGGCATATTGTACGTGTGCGAGATTGCCAGCAGCAACCAGAGCATCCACGTCGAGCACCGCCGGTACGCTTTGGGCGACAAGCAGTTCGTAGACCTCGATGGACCGCGTGTCCACCGCTGGCATGTTCACTGGACGAGGGTATTGTGCGAGCAAGCAGGCCACAATCGAGGTGTGGCCTTCGCTAGCAGCATTGCGCAGGCTCACCTCGATGTCGCGGGCGGTCCATTGCTGGTGCGTCAGTAAGAAGAGGACTACGTCTGCGTGGCCATGCTGCGCGGCGAGGTGCAGCGCCCGTGGAGACCCGGTGACGCGGTGCGTGGCATGCATGAAGCGCAAGACGTCGACATGCCCGTGTGACGCCGCGTCGTCAAAGCCTTTGACCGAGCACGACTCGTTGCATAGATACCGAAGGACGTCCATGTGCCCGTTGCGGCAGGCGCCGTCGATTGCTGCTTGCGGCCATCGTACGGACGTTGCACGTTGTCGTGTAAAAAAACCGCGAGATCGAGTCGCCCGTAGGACGCGGCAACGATCGCCGTACGCTGTACGCTGCAAAAGCCGAGCGCACTCAGCGATATAAAGGTTGCGCGCGTGCCGTACTTGGCGGCGCACGAGAGAACACTTGGGGCGGCCGCGTCGAGGGCCAATAGTTCTGCGCATTTGTGCCTCGCGTAGGCCAGTGCGAGGTCGCTCCGACCAGTAAAGAGAGCCCAGTGCAGCGGGAAGCGCGCGTCAAGTGCATCGAGAAAGAGCTCGCCAGACCACACGTCGCGCTGCTCGTAGCGCAAGGCAAAGCGGATGCCGGGTACGTTGACCCACTCGAAGGCCAGGTCGACCTTCCACTCATGGTCCAGGCCCAGTAGCGACAACGGAAGGCCATTCTGGTACCTCGTCATGAGGCGAAGAAGGCCTTCGTTGGCGAGCACAGAGATAGCTGCGGCTCCCATGGAAGAAGCCAAAGAAGAAATCGCCGAGGCGCAGCGAATCTTGACGTATCTTTTGGCGCGGCTGACACTCATGTGATTGGTCAACGCCGAAACGGGTAAAGACACGTGTTTTTCGACGCCTATAGGGTAAACACGTTTTTTATGACGATACGCTTCAACGCGACCTGGAAAAGCAAACGCTGGTGCTGAAGAGTGAACTCGATCGATTGGGCCGTCGACAGCCTTGTAGCTTACCGAATGACGCTGACAAGGCGACCTTGAAGTGCCAGCGACGAGCAATGGCCACGAGGTTTGCGTGTTCTTGGCGCGTAACCCCTGACGCCAGGTATACATACAGCGTGTTGCGTCGACCTGGCGCCGCGCTTGCGCTTTTGTACTGCCAGTAGTTTACGGATTGCAACCAGCTACCACGGACAGCTACAACTTGCTTCAAGCAGCGCCTCGTCGCACGAGCGTGCGTGGCGTTTCGCACGCGAAAGAACCCGGGCAGACCCGAGACCACGTCGCATGTCCACACACTTGGATGGGTGAATGGATGCCAATACCATGTATCCTGTTCGCCGCGTGATATTGTTGCCCGCGCGATAAATGAAGGTGTTGAACGCATTTAGCGTCATTGGGTTAAACGAGGTCAAACTCATCACCTATCCGCCGACTGATGGCAATACTGGTACAGTACATCCATGAGGGCACGCGCATCTGCCACGACGAAATGATATCCTTCGATGGTTTGCACGTCGCTATGTGGTCCCTCGCGGCAGCTTCTGCTTGCTCCAGCTTGACTGAGGAAAGCGATATTCGATCGTTTGGGCACCGGAAGCTCGAACACCAACACACGTCGACAGCTCACCGTGCTGGTATTCATAAAATGGGATAAGTACACTACACAATCCACAAGGGTACACCCTTGGTATCCAACACGTCATGCTGTTATAGCCTCATAGCGCGCCCACATCCACGAGCGCATGCGAGCAGACGCAGCTCCAACGCCACGTCGGTCGCACCACTTGACAAGGGCATGGAGTGATTACATTCCCCTCTGTACCACCAATCTCTTCGTTACTTTACGCTTCACCAGTCTTTGACATGGTCAACCAGCTTCGCACTGCAGTATGCGCGTCTGTCCTGGCACTGGGCGATCTTCAAGAGCGCGCCGCCGACGCCCTTCAGCAACGACCATGATGATCCTCCACCGCCTCGGTAACACCAACTACAGTGTATGCTACTTGCCGTATAAACAGACTGTCTTGCCGGTCGGAGCTGTAGCTCCGAGACACGTAAGCTCGGCGGGTCGCAAGCCCTCCAACGTTAGGGTGTGAGCGAGGGTAGGGTAGGCTTAGGGCTGTGTGAAACTTTTCATTTTCCTCGTGTGGACCATGAATAATGTGACCACAGACACCGTTTCGATGCCTTTTCATGCTACCGAGCTCTATGCAAAGCAGAGACGTCGTTTTGCTCCAAAACTACAAACCAGGACCACAAATCGACCAAGGGCTCTTCAAGTTGATGTCACTTTCTTCATCTGGCGACAGATCCCACCATCAAGTCAATTCTTGGCTTCGTGACATGACAGGAAGTAGCATGAACGAACGATCAACCTTGCAATACTATAGTACGCTTCTATAGTCCATGCAAAATACACTGTACAAATCTCCTTACCTTGATGCCACTCAATACATGACCGCTGTTTTGCCGGAACGACCATTGCTCAAAAATATACTAGCAGATCCTTTCACAGTACCTCCTCGCGCGTCGAAGCGCGGCCCTTTCGAAGGACAACGAAAGGCAGGGGACTGGCAACAAGTCTTGAAGATCGGCTCCACGGCGGAGATCGCGTGCGTTCTTCGCCAAATGCAAGGTCTCGGGAGAAGCCTATTACACATACTGATAGCTCTTTGCCTTTAGCCGTCACCCATGGATGGATGTGTCCAAGGACGCTCCTGGCATTTTCGTTTTTGCCATTTCAATGCCAGCTCGTTTCCACTACTTGTTTCCTCTCGCGAGCGACGATCTGCACGCGGCCGTCACCGCCGTCTTGCCAACGCTCGAGGCATCGGTCCTCGCAAAGGGTAATGCATCGCTCGCCGAGCTCTATCGTACATGGTCCTTCGCGGATCGTGGCGCGTCGCGATTGGTGGTCCGCGCGTCAACGCTGCGTGAGCTTTTGAACGGCCTGCGCTCGTTTCTCAACGGATGCCCCGAGCCCGACGTCGTCTTTGTCGCTACGTCAGTGCCGGCCACGCCGCCGCCACTTGTCTGCATCTTCAATGGCATGGGTGGGCAGTGGAATGGCATGGGCGCAACGCTCAACGAAGTCTATCCCGTCTTTGCTTCGGCGCTTACGGCCGCTGAAGAAGCCCTCCTCGCCGTCGCAGGCGGCGCTCGGTTCGTACCAGCAATGCTCGATCCGTCGTCCACCTCGATGACGACCAACGCCGGTGCGCAGGCAGGCAACTTTGTGCTCCAGGTGGCTCTTCTCGCCGAACTCTCGTCGCGCCTCGTCGCGCCGTACATGGGCGCACTGGGTCTTTCCGCCGGCGAACCGGCTGCAGCGTACGCCGCCGGAAGTCTCTCGCTCAGTGACGCGGCCAAAGTGGTGTGCACACGCCTCGCCATGCAAGATCGCGTCGCGGCGCATGATGGCGGCATGCTCGCTATTCGAGCGTCCGAGGCGATAATCACTCCGCTTCTGCCGGCTGAGGTTGAAGTCGCTGCTGTCCTTTCCCCACACCTCTCGACGGTGACGGGGCCAATACAAGCGCTCGAGACGCTCAAGACGACCCTCCCGGCGTCGATTCTGACCATCGACCTCCCGATGCGAGCCGCGTACCACAGCAGAGTCATGGAGCAAGCCAACATTCCCACCGACTTGGTCGTGGCCCTCCAAGATCTGCGTCCTCGGCCACCAACCACAGCGCGGCTCTTCTCGACTGTCACAGGCGGCGAAATTGCAACACTGCTGGACGCGGCGTATTGGTATGCGAATGTTCGCCAGCCCGTTTTGTTTCAAAGCGCCGTCGAGACAGCGCTGCGCGCCGGTGGTGCCGTCTTTGTCGAGCTCGGGCCGCACGCGTCTATCGCGCGTTCGATCGAATTCATTGCTGGCGCGTCGGCGTCGTCGGTACCGAGCATGCTCCGGGGCACGGAAGAGCTCTTGCAGCTCGACCGCGCGACAATCCACCTCTATCTCCACGGCCACGTCATTCAGTGGCGCTACGCCGAAGCATGCGTTCCGAGCGGGGCGACGAGACAGGCGGTGGCATCCCTCTGCGATAAGACACAGCGTGCGGTCCCACTCGCTGCGTAATCCACGGTATCAATAAGTACAGCGAGGCTCGTTATCGTCCACCTCCACTACTTGCATACTTATGTGCAATGCAAACGCAACGCGTTCTGGTCTTTGCCCATATACTGCTTCGTCGTTGTACTCTGCAAGCTCGCTGCGGGGCAGTAACGGCGCGTCGGCGACCGGTCTCGCTGTAATGCTGCGTGGCGCACCATCGTACATTGCGCCGCTCGCTTGTCGCTCGTCCTGTTATCTCTGCGTACCATCTTGTTCGTGCTCGTGCAAGCGGTGTGATGTGATGTGCATGATACCACATGATTGCGTCATCCAATCAAAAAAGGCAATCTCGCGGTGCCCTGTCAGATTCCAGTGACTGCGTGTTTGTATGCGTGTCGTCCCACTGTGCCCCGGCGTACCCCGTCTGCGGTTCCATCATCATTCCGGTAAAAATACGAGTGCTGGCATGCGGGCGTGCAGGCTCGTGCTGGCCGCCGTCGGTCTCGTCGCCGCCACCGCGTCGCCGAAGCGGCAGGTTCTGCCCGTCGTGCTCATCCCGGGCCTCGCGTCCTCGCAGCTCCACGCGTGGAAGAACGAGCGCTGCCATGGCTCGATCGGCCAAGAGGTCAAGATCGGCGACCGTGCGTGGCAGCACACATGCGTGCTCGTAGGCTCACTTGGCGTAGGTATGTGGATTGACGTCGGGCGCCTCTTGAGCCAGACCGACTGCTGGGAGCGCTGCATGAGGCTGCATACGCGCAACCAGTCGGACGTGGCGTGCAAGCTACGGTACACGAGCGTGCTTTCATTCGCCTCATCTCATGGCGTCGGTAGCGCGGGCGACGGCATCTCGGCGATCACGGAGCTCGCGCCAGGCCTCGTCACGGGCCCGCTCTCGGTCGTATGGCGACACGTCATCGAGACGCTCACGGGTCATTTCGACATGGGACCGCACCAGCTTATGGTCGCCGCGTACGACTGGCGCCTCCCGCCGTCCATGCTGCAGGAGCGCGACCACTTTTTCTACACCATGCTCAAGCGCAGTACGTGCATTTCTCTCTACGGCTCGGCTTCACGGCGTTGTATTAGTTGAGGACGCAGTGCACTTGCATCAAAGCCGAGGCGTCGTCATCATCGCGCACTCGCTTGGCAACAACGTCTTGCGCTACTTTCTTGCGTGGGTCAAACACCACATCCACTTGACCGACGACGTCCACGAGGTGCCTCACGTTGTCCCTTTTTCGGTTTTTTAATGCAAATAGGCGTGGGTTCGACGCCACATTGCCGCCTACTTTGCCCTCGGCACGCCGTTTCTCGGAAGCTCCGAGCCGCTCGAATGCCTTGTCACGGGGCTCTCGGTCAAAATGCCGCTGTCACTCGACATGTATCGTCGCCTGCAAACCTCGCACGGTACCTCGATCCTCGACTCGCTTCGTCGTGTATCGTCGAGGATGGTAGGCTCGACCCAGTGGATCCTGCCAATTCCACGCACGCTGCACGACGACCCGACCGACGCGCAGGCGCAACAAGCCTTTGCGTCGGTGACGTACCCTGGCGAGGTGCTCATTTTTACTGCTCCCATTTTTCATGTGCCGTCCGTAGGCTGGCTCCACCGTCACGCGCAGCTTCTCCATGCGCGAGCTCACCAACGGCTCGTTCCACCGCGCCATGGCAGCGCGCGATCCGACGTTCGAGGACCTCGAATACGTGCGGGAGCGGTCATTTGTTTTTATTTTTGAACCTTTAAACTAAACCAACCCCTAGGTACTATGCCCAGGATCCCGTGCTCAACGTGCACACGCCATGGACGCGACCGCCCATCGAATCAATCTACGTCATTTACGGTACAGGCAAAAAGGTATTTCGACCAAAACACATATGTAGTTGGATGCCGAAATCCAACACTCTCGGCAGGTGCGCCATCGGTATACGTATACCGAGCGCGAGCGCGGGGCGTGGACGCTCGACGAGCTCTTCACCGAGACGCCGGACGCGGCGACGTGCAACAAGACGGGCGACGGCACCGTGTCCTATTACTCCCTCTCGTGGGGTCACACGTGGCTTGGCGCCGACGGCGACAGCGTCACCATGACGCGCGCGCCGCAAGCGCCGTACTTTTCCCGCAAAGACATTGCGCAAACGAAAGCGACGCGCGTCAAGTACGCAGAGTACCAAGGCGGCCTCCAATGCAAGTCGTCCGAGTCGCCGTCGCTGGCGTCGGCCGAGACGCAAGCCATGCAAATGCACTACAACAGCGGGTTTCTCTCCGACCTCTGGAGCTCGGCGAGCGACGAGCCGCGGATTCATTTTTTCGAGCACTCGGGCGTCTCGCCGACGGGTCGCTCACTCCACGTACGCACCTGATTCAACTGCCATGACAACGAGGCCTCCTGAACAAAACGTGTAGACGAGCGTGTGGGAGTTTGACCTGATCCAACACCGAGAAATGCTGTCCGAACCTGCGTTTTTGCGGGAACTCAAATTTGAGCTGCACAACGTGTTTGACGGCAAGGCCCACACGGACAAGGTAAAACATGACGTGTGGAGATCGTTGAGTTTTATCCACGCTAGGCCTTTCGACCGCCGAGCCACGACGCAGAC